TTTGATGCCACTGAAATAATTCTCCTCAAAAGTATATTGACATTCTTAAGTTTCTATATTTAAAAACAAAACAATACATTTTTCTGCGTGTTAACTGTCAATATATTTRTGTTATTATAGATAAGTATGAATAGTGCAATCAACACATAAATATCCATCTATGTAGGCTAATGTTGGTATTGTTGTATTTGGTCACATGCAATTAAATTATTATTTTGATCAAAGGCATAATCATGGAAGGCTGTCCCCTTCTTTTTAAACCTTCTATTCCTTCACATTGTATTAGTTTAGAGTATAATAATTGAGTCTTATAAAGTATAGATTTAAGAATTATTCACTTGTTTAAAAATATTTTAAACACAAGAGCTGAATAAAATTTAAAAAGCAAATAATAAATTAACTAGTCATTTTATTCATAGTTATAGATTTGTGTAAACAAATTTTTAATTTATCATACACTCTTCCTATTATTTTTTAAATTAAATGAAAAAATCTTAAATCAAACAGTCAGTGTATAGCTGTCAAATGTAAAATGTAAATATATTACATCTTAAGAAATATACTTTTAGGTACTCAATAATTGAATAATAATATAAGATATTAGGATAACAATATTKTAATATTTATATATTATGATAAATTATATTATCACAYATCTTAAACATAGTTAAGTTATTGTATGTAACTATATAAGACATGCTTTAACTTAAGGTACAAAATAGTATTAATATAGTATAATAATAATATAATGTTTAACAATAATTAGTAATAACTGGGCAAAAAAAAAAACAAATTAAGTAGTAATTTTTATGGTAAATAGGTTCTTAAAACTAAATGAATAAAATGCATAGGCCTATGTATACTCAGATGGCAAGTATTGTTTTAACATTATTGGTAAGTGGCATACTTTTATTGATTAATGGAAGATATATCGTATATGTTTATTAGGTATGTTTTATAGAACTATAGTAACAAGACATTAGATATAAAAAAAAATACAAATTATGATGTATGTATTTTTACCAACAAAATACATAATATTTCGCATTAAAGCATAAATAATAAATACTTTATCTGAATAAAGAGTACCTGCAATAATGAATAGTAAAGTATTGATATAATATRACAACCAAACTTTTTTACAAAAACCAACAAATTTGATTAAAAAATTATACAAAATTTTAAAAAGTAACCATCCATAATAATTATATATTTCATAGGTAATAAAACTTAATTTCTATAATCGTCTAAGCATTGTATTAAAAAAAAAAAAAAACAATTTGTTGTTTTATAAAAATAAATATTTGTTTTAAAAATGTTACTTTTTAATGCTTATAAATAAAGGCTGGAAGTACAACAGTTTTCATATAATTCCATAATTTCCATATTAATTATTGAAAATAACAAAGTACCAATTTTTTGGCATTGAATCATGATTTGTTTTTTTTTAAATGTATACCTAAATTATTGCTAACAGACATCAAACATAAAATTTTATAATTTAAATGGTTAAAAATTCTTAAAATAAACAATAAATTATAAATAGATCAAAAATTTAAAAAATAATATTCATACCTCTAATAAATTATAAAACAAATAGGCACATTTAAAATTTATGATGATCTGACAATGTTAATAGTGACTACTTAACACCTAGGTAACTATATTCTAATATTTAGGAGTTTGGAGTTGTTAATATTGGTAGACGTACTGTTATAGTTATATTTTGAATATTATTATTATTATAAAATTATTAATGTTTATACTAATAAGTATATAAAATGTTTATGATTATAATTATTAATTAGTTGGGTGGTTAAATATGTTCAATATGATGCATAGTATATATAATTTAATAGGATTATTAATTATTTCTTTGATAAAGTTAGTTAAATTATAACTTGATCAATGATTATTTTATAAATTTCTACTTTTCCACAAAATAAAAAGTAAAATCATTGGTTGTCCATGGTTAATTAGAATTATATAACTGTCAATATCCATAGAAGTAATTTAAATATATTATAATAAGTCACACTAAATGAATATTCAAATAATAAATAAGAATTTGTTTATATTTAAACTGAAATTGTCAAAACTAATTATTTTATGTCACGCTTTGATTTAAATAAAACTAAAACAAACAAATAAAAATAAGCTATGCATAATTTTTTTTTTATATAGGTTTTGTAGAAATTGTTTAGTTAAATATTTAACAATTTGATGTATCTCTTATAGGTATTTGCACTTACATAGCTAAATAATTTTTAAATCATAGACATTATACTGCTACACAAATAATAACAGACAGTCATGTATGTATAACGGCAAAACAGTAGGTACTTTTTGAACGGTAGTGCTGGGTATTAAGGTAAGATATATAAAGATTTATGGATAAATAGATTATTGCATTATAAATGTATTTTATCCTGGATTATCGTACTTTTTCGTCATACTGCATCACTGTCTTTTTTCGTAAAGACAGCCTACATCACTGCGAGATGTTTTATCTCCGTTCGTGATGCTATTGTTAGGCACAGTTCTTGTGCAGTAGTATAAGGTTTATGGTTCAAAATCTTTATGCATCGTTAATTTATTACAAATTTACAACCATTTAAGCGTAATTCAAAATCTCAAGAAAATCATAAAAATATAGGTAATAATAATATATATATAATAAGTTCTTACTTTTATGGTCAATTTTCATTATTATGAATAATTAATTATTGTCATTTATGAATACTGATTTGGTATTTGGTATACAAATTAAAAAACAATAGGTACGTTAATATATTATTAATATTTTTATAATACCTATCAATTTAATTTWAAAAAACAGYAGTATTAAAATCACTTTAGCCTTTATATAAATATAGATAGGTACCTAAGTAATAATCGTGTAATACCTTCATAAACATTATTAACATTTTCAGTAATATTTTAGACAGGTAACATTACATCAGTGTTAAAACTTAATATATGAAACATAAAAATCTTTTAAATGTCACTTTATATATTCACATGTTGTGTGAATGTAAGTAACATTGTCATTGTATTTTATATTGCTGCTTAGTCTTAGGTATACTTTTAAAATAGGTACCTACATTATATATTAGGTATAACACGCATATCAAATTGTTGGTACTGTTGTTATGATTATTAAAATTATTAGGTATTATTGATACATTAATATTATTTTTCGATAGTATATTTTTGATGATTATCATAAAGTGTTTGCGTTTTAAACTTTGGCTGGCGTTTTTGATGTGGTCACCATTAGAAGTATTTGAAGGTAACGTGTTAAACACCCTGAAAAAATGAAATTTAAATAACTCCAAAATAACATTAGTTCTTTTCAATTTTTCCAATCCAAAACCATAAAGATACTATAGGTATACGGTATATGGTATACATATTACCTACATATATTATACAAAATATTGTGTGAATGTGTTTCTTACCAACAATTTTGTGGAATATCATGGGTTTGTTTTTCCAAAAAATGAACACACCGTACACCGGTATACTGGTCAATATCATTAAACAACCATATCCTAGAAACAAATAATATTCTTTAAACACGATTTATTATAGATTGGATTATTGTAAATACCTACAATAAAAGGTAGGGTGCTTACGAGGTTCAAATGATCATTCCTCAATTYTCTAGGGTTACCTATTTATTTTATAAATAACTTATTGTAAACTAAAATTTTTCATATTTATGATTAAATAGGTAAGTAAGTTTTCACTGCAGTGGCGTATTTACCACGAAAGATTCCCCTTGGTATCTTATTTATTATTTATCTATACTATTATATTGTCAATGGTAAGTGAACTACCCCTTCCCCTTAGGAAAATTAAATGTTTGCTAACGTATATCCATTATCTATCCTCTCTTCTCGACAAAATCCTAAATACCTACGCCACTRCAGGTTCACTGAACATGATGATATTAGAACATCGTTTTATTCCCAACGCGGTCGAACTGCTAAAAACCTGCTGTACAACATGGCGGCTGAGATCAACAAAACGGACTGTCCACTATTGTGGACGGCGACCACGCGCAAGCCAGTTTCGGCGTCTGTCGACGATGAGCGCTCGCCCGATACAGCGCGATTGGCGCACCTGAACCCTGCGCCGCGCTACGCCTCAGCACCGACGCTGTGGTAGCTGTCCTCGAACGAACAGTTATTGTCAGTGGTCAGTGGCAGCCGCTGGGTTTTCCTCAAAAAAGAAGTTATCTCCCGGCTCCCGCCAAACAAATAAGATACAGCGCGTACGACGGAGAACTTATCGTAGAATACGCGCGACATTTCGTCCATATAACATTGAGGGGTCACCTCGCGACACAATAATATGAATAGATCACAAGCCGCTAACCTAAATGTTTACACTTAGAGCAAAAAAGATCATCGACCGACGGGTACACGCGACAAATTTCGTTTCTGTCTCAATTCATATACACAATGTCGTATACACATCGTCACCGATGCGCCACTGTAGACACTTGAAATGGTCGAGACGACAACGCTACCGGACTTACGGCAGTGCGCAATCGACGAATCTATAACGATCCACAGCTTCAGTGTATTATCGCTGACAATACAAAATACAACAAGTTCGTTGYCGCTGCAGACGCGCACCTCCGAACGGCGTTCTATATTCGGATTATTCCGCGGATAACGCGCGTAGTTTTCGCCGCGCCACCCTTCGTCTCATCAAATTTTTCTACTGCTGCAGGCCGGACAGGGATCACGCGATGGACCYGAGCCCAATGCGAACCGTGCCAACGCACCAAAGTACACCAAACACACGACGTCCATYACCAAACCGACTWGATTGGACCGCTACCACCGTCCAGCAGATACAATAGTAGGTACCTACTAACCGTCGTCGACCGATTCACGCGCTGACCAGAGGCGTGGCCGATCGAAAAACATGTTACGTAGCTCTTAACAACGAACTGGAATCTAGCACGGTTCGGCGTACCTACCCTACGTTATCACCATCGCCGACCGAGGCCGACTGCGGTTCGAGTAGGATCAGTTCAAATCACTTTTGATCACCTTCGGCATTCATTATACATTCGAACATCGCCTTGTCACCCTCAGGCCAACAGGATGGTAGAACGTTTTCATCACACGCGCACGAATCACCGCAGTGTAGGTCAGCCAAGGTGCTCATCCTAATACTACTATTCGCGCTGCGCAACGCGCAGTCAAAGCGGCCATCGAACAAGCTTCGGCCGAGTTGGTATACGAAACAACCATCAAAATGTTCAAAAATAATTTGCTTAAAATGTGCAGTGCAGTCGATCAATAAGTTTTTATTACAAAAATACAAAAATTTGAATTTGAATAAAATATGCATTGTTAAGATAAGAATGATGAGCAATATAATTTATAAATTATATATTATATTTTACACCCACCTGTTTCGACCGGACTAGCGATTATCGGTATTATGGTTACGAAAAGCGTGGCGGCGATGTAGATGACAGGGAAGAACATATTGACTTTGATCGGTCTCTTCAAATCTGGTTGAGTAAAACGCAGCACGGGTATACACAAAACCGACACACCGATGCTTAACTGAAATTACATACAAATACGATAAATAGTACAACGTTATATGTTCGTGACCGCAAGTATTAGTTATGTGGTCTGGTKTAACTTGATTATTGTTAGGTATTTTGTTCAAACGTACCCATGTCGCAAATCCTACATAATTAATAAGAGCGTAAATGTTAGATATTTGCAAGTATATCAGAGACAGCAAACACTGTGAAAACGAGACAAAAACATTATTATAATATTATAATACTACCTGCTTGAACATTTTTTATTTGTACATAAAATTTTATTATTATAATATTTACTATGCATATGACTGCTGGTGTTGGTGTCAGTCGATTGATTTGGATCATGGTCAGGATCTGTGGCATTTGTCCCTCGCAAGCTCCGGCGTAGAATAATCTATATATATATATATAGGTATAGTATATAGGTATGGTAATAATATACAATATAATATATTTTGAAATTAAAAATTATAATTCATTCGCAATTTCTACTTTTAATACGCGTACGTTTATAGTATTTCTATTGATACTTTTACCTACCGAGCTGTCGCTTTATAAAAGTTGATGTAACTATAYATTTTGGTTATGGTTTAAAATTGTAAGCAGAATTAAAGCGAGCAGATACTAATATTAAATAACATTTAAATAGACAATATGCATATTATTTGATTTTATATTACAAATGTTTGATCATAGTTTGTAACAATATTGCAATTTCATATACGTAGGTAGGTATTGTTCCCTTTATCATTTTTTTTTTTTTTTTTAAGAAATCATTGAAACGTCATAACTATTATTACCTACCACATTTCTAAGCGATTTAATAATTAAATTTACAATTCAAACAAAATAATATATCAATAACTTAGAGTTTTTCATTAAAATATCGAAGTTCTTTGAACTTTAAATATTTCTAGTTCTGAGTATCACCATTACGGCATTACAATATAATATTTTATATAAACTAGTGAAGTATACGAGTATGTATTGGTACAATAGGTACGTCTTACACAATAATATAGACATGAAACTAAGAACACATCATAGTCGTCTGACTATCACTATACTGAACTTTACTCTATATAGTCTACATAATTTTGTATAAAATGAATTATTATGATTCTTATATTAATTTACTTTATGTAAAGCCTAATATTTTAACATTTTTCGGTTTTGGTAAATATTTAACTGCAATGTCAAGAATCATCGCTTAGGTAGTAGGTRCTATAAACTACTATCACGTAATAGAATTTTAAAACTTAATAATATTATATCTATATACGGCTTATCATTCTATATCAATGATAGTTAGATACTTGATTTGTAAAGTAACAAAAATACAACACCCGAATATTTTGAATTAGTGTACCTAATCATAAAATTTACGTGTTAAACATGTTTTTTCACCTTGAACTTGTCAGTAGAATACCATTTACAGCACCAAATGTAGATAAAGCAACAAACAAAGGAATCGTCCATGCCATTGAACCGTACAGTCTTTCCGCAAAAGTCTATAACAAAAAATAATGCTCATCATATAGTACGTAGATGAGTGTATAGGTAGGTAGGTACGTAAGTTAATTTTGAAATATTTATCATACTAAAATTTACATTAGATGCTATTTTTGCATGTTTAATATTATTTTGTATTGTCAAAATGTAATTATTATCCAAGTGACTTTGCTCTCAGGTTGGTTCTAGGCTCTTGGTACCTATTACTATAGGTACCAATATATAGTACTATATAACCTAAAAATTCTTATTCATTCAATATGATTGCGCTGCAGTATAGCAGTGGCCAGTGGATAATATACAAACATTTTAATTTCGTGTTCAAACTTCAATGTTAATACCTACGTTTTTTGTTATAATAATATTGTTTAATTTTGTATATTATACAAAATATGTTTTTTATGTGTATTATTATGCGTATAGCTATTTATACGAAACGAAAAACTACGCACATCAATGTACTCATAACAACGCAAGAATATATTATATATTATACCTATAATATGTACCTACTAAATATAATATGTTAAATACAAATTTTCACTCAGAATTCAATATGTGTTTCTTAATCGGGATTGTAATACGTATACGCTTAACGCGTTCAAAATACTTACAACAGCTACAGCTTCCGAAGTCAGGACTTCTTGAGGCGACAAAGTTGTATAAAAAGCTATATTAGTGAAGACGTACACGACGGTGACGAGTATGCATGATATTGCAATCGCCCTTGGCAGGTTTCTAAATAATAATTAAAGCAAAATTAGTTTACGTTTACGCCATTATAGTTAAACTAAACGCATAGAGTTATATAAATTATACAAACCGTATAGGATCTTTTAATTCTTCAATCACGAAATTTAAATAATTCCTAAAAAAAAAAAACAATCGTGTTTGTATATTATAAATTATGATATTTATGAAATTCTGTATCGTACATAATAATATATGTAGGTACCTATAATCACGTAATTAAATTGTTCGAGACTGTTATGTTATTCTAAATAATATAATATTGGTTAAACATAATTAATATTATAATTATTCTTAATATAGGGCAGCAACAGTAACGAATAAATGAGAGTTTTTAGGGCTCAACTATATGTATGGGAAATTTGAACTTGACGTTTTAAACATATGAAAATAGAAGACAGATTATTGGCKATTTTCCGATGTATATTACTATAGGTAATACAATATTTAATATACCTATTACTAGTATTACTTGAAAGATTTTAGATTGGAATAATTATCACTAGGTAACTATTGTTCGATATAGTTTTACTCGATATTCAGGTATTATGCAATTTTAGGCAATACGCGTACCGTGTACCTATTTTACGAATTATCTGAATTTTCTCGGTCGAAATAAATTTGAAAACCTTAATTAAGGAAACAGAATTTAAATGCCGTTCGTCTGCAAGTCGGTTGCAGAAAAGTGAAAAGTCATCGAGAAAATCCCACGCTAAAACGTCGTAACGTCTTTAAATCTAAATATATACCTACACACATTGCAGCGGAGGAAGCATGTCTACAGACGTTGTTTAAAATATTGTGAACGTGTGTTTTTTTCGGTATAATTATGCGTTAAAGTTGCGCCCTTTTAAATCGTAATACCATGCAATGTCTTATAAAAATATTATGTCATACTATGTAAAGCCTGCGCACTCGATCAAAATATTATACCTAAATGAAAACAGTATCAAAATATGCAATTTTTAAAACGTGAAAACATGCACCACTGCAGCTGCGAGAAACACCACTAGGTATGTTACAAATAAATAATAATAATAATAATCTGCAGCCTCCAAATGTATATAATATAATTTAACAACATTCTGTAATAATGTATATTTTGTGAACGAAATTATATAATATAAAACGGCATCAGATGTTATATTATTGTTATGTTATGTTATTATAATAACGGTTATGATATTGGTATTCGTTTATTTTACAGCGTAAATCTTAATTTATAGTAACATAAAAAAGCGAATAGAGTTAATAAAATTAACAACATATTGACTCGTTGTAGAAGATGGTTCGTCCTAAACACTGGAAATTGTAATGTTTATGATTAATGTATACTTTTGCTAAAATCTACGTCTACTAATATTGTTGTTATTATATATTACTATTACATAAACCTTTACTAAGGTATCTACCACATTAAATTTAATAATAATACACACATAATTTAAATATCAAGCTTGACAGTCGGCAGATGGTTATTATTATAATAATTTTATACAAAAATATATTTTAATAAATCTTATTGAAAATCAAAAAAAGTTTGAAAAATTGGAAACATAATTATAGCATATTATTAGGAAAAAAACAAATCACCTATTTCATGCACGTAATACGTTTTAGTACTTTTTATATAGTATTAAGGTACAACTTTACTGTTATGTTGTTAATATTTTAGATGGTAGATCATGAACAAGCGATTTTTTTTTCGTTATTATCACAACTCATTAAATAAGAGGCAGGCTTCGTTAAGTACTTATAGGTATAGCTTATGACCCACATTAATTACATTTTCGAATCTGCATTCGCACAAAACGTATCCGAGCAATATTCAAGTATTATAATTTTTTTCCATTCCCATGCGGAATTCTTATCAATAATGCCATTAAATGACATTTAATTTAATTTCTATTACTTTGGCATGCATATTTGTATATAAAAGGTACATAATATTATTGTATATTAATAATATCCGTATACATTTAAAGAAATCCTAAATATATTAGAAACAACAGTAGGAAATTGTATTGTTATTATCATTATTCAGTATATAGATATTACAATATATTACAATATATTGTATGTATATAGGTACTAACCATCCGTTATACGCAAAAAGGCCAGAATAAAACGAGAGAGCGATCGAGGTAACTTCGGTTTTTGTATTTACAAACGTAAAATGTTCGGTATGCCCTTTAAAATAATTCATATAAAAATAATAGACAATTAAATCGTTTCGTGACATTATAGCTGAAAATAATATTAAATATTACAAAAACCATAGGTACTAATACAATACATAAGTCATAAATGGATAAATGTGACTTAAAGAAAAACATGTTAGGTAACAATATTATTACAAATGACAGGTAAATAGGTAATATTGTATTTCCATAAAAAATAAACCTCTATAATATATATATATATATAATATATAAACATATTTAAAAACAATATGCCTTTTGATTGTATAAAATATTATATAGGTATATTAGGTATTATGTACAATGTATAAATATTTTTGCTCTTGTTGGTACTTATATTATGTAGTATATAATATATATTTTTTTTAAAATGAATTTGTAGGTAAATTTTATTGTTTTTAATAATAAATAATAGTATAATCTATGTATTGTTCATCTCTCGTGATACCGTGAAATTAAAATTATCGAATACTCAATACTTTTAAGACCTCTCCAATATTTTTTTAATTATCAAAATCATAATAATGCTATATAATTATTATTTGACAATATAAATTTCTAAATTAGGTATAGGTAGGTATGCGTTTTACATCGGCACGGAAGCGAACGTTCGAAGATCTACTTTACAATGGTCTAAACTTTTTAATTTTTACATAATATCTACATAACGATACTCATAATAAATACGTTTGAGACGTCGTTTTTATCCTTTTAATATAAAAATTTCAATTTCAATTATTTTATCTCGTTTCTCTCTAACCACATCACGACATAACAAAATATACTCGTAAAACGTTTAGGTATACCGTATAATATCAATAATTATTGTTCGCAAATCATAATACTATGCATTTATATATATATACTACATATATATTTTTATATATGTATATAATAATATATATGTGTCTTACGCACAGATGTGTATAATATATTGTCATTTTTATTTTATTGTAGGTATGACATAAAAAGAAAGAAATATAAGAAACAGTCAAAACACGTGAAATCGAATTTCGTGCATCAATATAATAATAATAATATGTCAGCCGTTTTTATAACGAGATTCCAATTACATTCAAAACGAATATAACGGTTGAAGGAAAAAGAACAATCGAAAATTAAAAGGGAAATCGAGTAAGATTATTCCCCGCAGAATGACACACGACGTTTTGAGTGTATAATGTAAAAACCAGATAGATAAATGTATATTACGGCATAAAATAACCATTATAATACTGCAGTATCGGTGTCTATATTACACAGGGTTATACACCAGGCATTATCAGCATTATCACCCGCTTTTGAATTCATATGGAATTTTTTAGTATATTAAAATTAAGTTAGAGGCCATAATAATTTTTATTCGTGCCATTTAATGAGTGTCTTGTAGTGGCCGACCTTACAAAATTCTATTTTTTTTTTTCAAATGTGAATCACTTTTTTCACTGAAATAATCGTTAAGCAGATGGTTTTATTTTAAATTTGATTTTTGGTGTGGGTATCTAAATTAAAATTTGAAAAAGTTATTTACCTACTTTAGATTATGCAACTTTATGATAAAATAGTTATATTGTTCGTAGATATTTTTATATGTGGGGCGTAATGATATTAAAATGATGGAATTTAATAATTTGTTAATATTATTTTACTACGAATGTAAAATAAGCATTAAGACAAATATGTGTTACATAATATATTTTATATTTTATGTAAAACCATTATTAGTTAACATAGAATTATATTAAAGATTTTCAAACAAAAATATCAGGTGTGTTACCCTGGCACCCTAAGGTCAAAATTTTGAATTGAAAACTGTTTAGTATTATGTTATTTATTATGTAACATTTTGAAACCGCAAAAAAAATTGTAACCACATCGGTGCCCCGGAAAACGGCGTTACAAATTCCGGGTGCCAGTGTAACATTAGATAATTAGATGTAAAAGACAACAACTCAAAATGTTGGATGGTTAAAAAGCTTGACAATTTTATACAAGCTCCTCCATAAATTGTTATTGACTTATTGTTAAAATTTAAAAATATGAAAATACATAGGCTGCATAGGTGCAATTTTTTTCACAATAATATTTGTGTGGTGATACTTGAAACATTTAATGTACATAAATTATTATATTTTGCATTTTAAAATGCAAGGGGGTGTGCGAGRGGACGGAGTTTCCCTACTATTTTTCTTTTTTTGCGTAACCTAATATTTTTTTTTACTTAAACGGGGGGACGGTACAAA